ATATATATATATAATATAATAGGACAATATTTAATTAACAAGGTCGATTTATTATAAAAATTATAATTTCTGTGCTGTAGAATCATACAAGTACAACTTGAATTTAATTGATATGAATTATTTAATTTTAATTTGCTGATTTACATAAATTATTATACGATAAAAATGACAACTTAATTTGATAAACTTTAAGATTAGTTTAACTCGGGTGATTTTCATGCATTATACGCATCATGAAAGGAATAACTATAACACTAAGATTTTATGTTTCATGTACTTAAATACATTTTTCTGTGATGTCTATGAAATATTAGATGACGAAACTTGAATCAATAATGGATATAAACTTTCATAGAAATTACATTTTCATATTTAATAGCATGCCACATAAGTTACTATTAAATAGAGAATTGGTATAAAGATTTTAGAGAGAAAACAGTATGTACTGTACCTGTGTGATAAAAAATAAAATGTTTTACTCGATATAGGAATATTAGAGATAAATGTAACTAAAAACAACAGGAATGCAATCTTCATCAAAAACTAATCAATCTTGTGTCTTTTTACATTGCCATTTATGTATATTTTGATAAAAACTAGATTTCTTAGCTAGTAATAACATTACAGTATTTCTACAACATTTTTTTCATTTAAGTATTTTATGGTAATTATTTGAAGAAAACAAAAGTAATGTAATTTGAACTTCATTTAAAAATTAATCAATGTATCAATGTTTACTTAATCATTTATGTCGATAAATTTATAAAGGAATAGACAAAATGATAAAAGCATATCTTTACGGCAAGATAGAATTTTAATTGCATTTAGATTCTTTATTCTTTATTCATTATTATTAAAAATATTAAAAATAATTTATTTTGTGTTTTAACTTCTTATGAAAATTCGTACATTCTTTAAGTACTGTGATAATAATATTTTTATTATTCTCGACTACCTAAGTATTACTTAATACGATTAAGAACAAATGTTTATAATTATTATTGTATGTTATGCTTTTTTTTTATATAATTTACGAAATAAAAATAATTATAAACGTATATAGCTTTCTGAATATATATTTTATTTATTAAAGTTTCCTATCTTTCTTTAGGAAAGATTCTTAAATATAATATAAACGTTTAGTTAATAACTTTTGTCTTTATCTCGATATTCTTCAATCCATTTCCTAATAAAAAAGCGATGATATTTCCGTGCTAAAACAACACTGTACGGATCATTGGCATCGCTGCTTCTCAAATCAAGATGATGTGCACTTTCTGGTATTATCACAGCTACTGCTGAAGATGATAAGTTTCGTAATACTCCCCCACTAGACCACGGGTCCATTAAACCATTGCTATAAATGAAACGAAAAACAAAAGATTGGATTATGAACAATACTCAACTGTATTTAATGCTATATATTAGTGTACTTGTATTATAAATATATTAAATTCAAATTTTTCAATTGAAACAGATTATATGACTATATGATTATATACCTGAAAATAATATTTGTTGCGGTAGATAGGTCTTTACATCCGTATTGTTCGCACACTAGATTTGGTTGTGGTTTTACTGAATATTGTTTTACGCAATCTTTGGTATATTCATCCAAATTCCATGGACGAGGTTCAAACATGTCATTTACTCCATCTGAACATATTGGCATCACCATTTCTGTACAAGCTTGAAAAGACCATCCAATAGCGCCCAGCTCAGGTGTAGAATCATTTAAATTTAAACACTTTGTTTCACTAGTATAATTAGTGAATATATTAATTGCTTTGTGTATTGCTGTCAGCAATTCTGTTCCTGCGAGTGATTGATTTGTTAAATGTTTGCATACAGCCTGTAGTAAGAATAATATTTTGTAAATAAATAAATAAATAATTTTATTGAGATTAATCATGGTACAATGGATTAATTGCAAATTAAGATACTCACATTAACAGGATAGGCAGGTAATGGTGCCAAGAAATTGGCTTTATATGGATAATTTACTACAGCAAGGTTTGTATAAATATCTTCCAAATAAGAAATTAATTGCTCGACATCACTTGTATTTTTTAATGGTTGACATAACTTCCAATTATCTGACAACCATTTTTTCCCTTTGTCTATTACAAAAAATACAGAATAGTTTAATAAATATAGGAAGATAGCATAAATAACAAGCTATTACCGCTTGATGTTATATTGTGAATAACATTCCATGATTTACGAATAAGTTTTGGACAATTTGAATGAGCTGTTTTAAAATCTGATGTAACTATGCGTAGAAAAGCTTCACATTCTGTAACTCCACTAAACTGCAATATTGGAGCTGA